TGCTTGGTCTGTGATTATTTCGGATACTTTTGTTGGACAAGAAGCAGCAGCAGCAGCAGCAGCAGTAGTAGCAGCGGTAACACCGGCCAGTGATGCTGCTGCTGCTAATCCCGACTCCTCCTCCTCCTGTCGGCTGCAGTGAAGCAGCATGGATCCGTGAGTGTTCTCCGACATCCCCTGCCTGAACACGGCCTCCAAGTCGGTCCTCCTCTTCCTCGTCTCATTTCTACGCTATAGGAGCCATTATCTCCACGAGTTTAATCCACGCTGTTTGTATTTCGAACCTGTTGTGGTTGAATTTCTTTCCTCCTGCCCGTGCGTAAACGGTGGAGATTGCTGGAGCCTGGACGCCGGGCCCTGGCTGCTCCTGCAGGGATTCGAGACTTTTTGGTTTTCTTGACCTTTGTTGCCATGGTGTTTCGGCTGCGATACATAACCATCAGTTGATCTCAGCTGTCCAGCCGTGTGTGTATCTTTGACTTGGAGAGACATTCATTGTTCTTGGCTTTTACGCGCAAATGTGTGATCTCCTGTGGTGGAGGTGGAACATGACCAGGAGCAGAATCCTGACCACCAGCAGCGTGTGACCCCGTGACTTTTGCGGGGTGTGGAGCAGCTGCTATAATAATAATAATAATAATAATAATAATAACAACAACAACAATATCAACCAAAACGGAATAATAAAAAGCAACAACAAGAACAGTGGAGGGTGGAGACCTCGTTTGCCTTTTCAGCTCAGGTTTAAACCATGGCCAATGAACCTGTCATCCTTAACGTGTATGATATGGTAAGAGTCCACGTTACACTCGCAACATTTCTTTATATGTTTGGTCATAATAAACTTTAATTTGCAAATGAACGCACCAAGGAAAACGCTACACACACTACACACGTTTCCATATCGAAAAGGTTTCTTGAAAGTAGCAATAAAACAAATAAGACTGTGGCTTCCGGCTAGTTGGTAACCACAACATGATTTACTTGTGGAAAATATCTCCTGTAGGTGGCAGTAATCAAACTCATGAGATCAATATAGCTCAAACAAGAACTGTGAGTGAGTTAGCTTAGCCTAGCCTTTGAGACACTGACAAAATAAATAAATGTTTATACTCTATATGCTTGAAATACTTCATGTTTACACAATGCGTTTTTTAAAATTCATATTCTTTGTTAATAATGCAGAATATCAATAACGTATAACATTAAATTAGACTTCTTCTTAGATCTTTTGTATCCTTCATGGCACCAAAGGCAGTATTTTCTGCACCCATAAAGTTTTTTTTTGTTTTTTTTTTGCTAGCAAATATCAGATGTTAAGGTATTTATTGGATAAATTGCAATGTTTTGGAGTGTTATTGTATGGTCTTGGTAAAGTTTTATACTGTTAGCTAGGGCTGGTTAGATTCAGGCTCCTCATTTGTGTAACATGCTAACTATTCATATTGAAACGTCTTTGCTCTGAAACCTTGCAACTGTTTCACTAATGTTCACTTCACAATCAATTTTTATATACTTTATTATTAAATATATTAATAAGATAGATAGTATTTTCTATCGATCTTTCTATCTATCTAACATTTGAGATATAATTTGTCATCTTTATGTATCGCTTGGCTATGTTTGTTTGCGTTTGGCTATAATGTAGGTATTGTGGCTAACAGTTGGTCAAATCGGGGTTAACTTTGTTTATTTAATATTAATTACTCTGACTTAACCATTTTGGTTAGCTTTGATATACTGTACAGTGGCTGTACTGCACCATATGTGGCTTCAGCTGCTTTGCTGCAGACATGCGCTGTGATTTGAAGTAAATTCTTACCACATCTCGGGTGATACAGCTACACTGGGGTAGACTAGTGTACAGTCACAGATCTTAAAGTCATATATGGATGGAGAGAGATATTTGAAGACACTTCTGTAAATGCCATACACAGGAAATGCAGTTAGACACTGCAGCCTCAGGCCTGTGAAACAAGAGCCTTCATCAGCCCTCTGTCCCTGCAGTTCACATGACTGATCGCACACAGAAACACTTCTTCTACACAGACACACACTGCCATAGCCCACACACAGCACCATATTCATCCTGGTCCGCTTCACATACTGTACTGCTCAGCAGGTCCCTGTGTGAATATTATGCAATGTGTTGCAAAAAAAGCTGCCCAGAATTTGCATTTTTTGGAGGTGTTTGGGATTTTGGTTCTGCTGCCATTATAATGTATAATCAACTGGTCGTGTTTTCACTGTCCTGAGTGGAAGTCTGTGACACTAAGAGGACACTGCTAGGGTCTATTTTTAGTCTGATAGTATAAGAGCTCTGTAGGGACAGTGTTTCCCAAACACTGTCCCACTGTCCTGGCCCAGTTCTTAATTTGAATTCTGATTAAAGCAACATTTTTGATAGCTTAAAGTTTTTGCCTAAGCATGGGGTTTTGAATGTAATTCAGAGGTTATTGTGATTTATTAACATTGAATGTGAAAAATACATACACTATATCATTCATATAGAAAACAGGCCTTCAGCCTAACTCTCACTACTTAACGTTTCATTTTGCAGGCCTAAACTTTATTAACCAAAACTGTTTTGTCGAACTTAGCTTGTCCTGAAATCTGGTCAGTGATAATAGAACAAACATTCAAAATGTCTTTGCATTAATTAGTTAATGCAAGCTAGTCCCTGCTGACCTAGCAGTATGGCATTACACATAGCTGTGGAAATAAGATTCTGAAAATCTCACACTATTTTTCTATTTTTGACTCTTCCACGACTGAGGAGCCTTTGATAGGATGTCACACTAGAGTATAAACCCCCCGTTTCTGTTCATTTTGCAACAATTTCTGCTATTTTTTTGACTGATCTCAAAAATAAATCGCAACTTAAATAACCTAAAAAGACCAACTTCACTAAAAATCCTTCCTCCCCTCCCCCTACAGCAATCTGTGTGACCTGAGAATATCTGCAGTGGGGCAGCTGCCACTGTAGCCACATGAGATCACATTATTGACACAGAGGTGCTGTAGTAGAAATGCACTTATTGTGCTCTGTATATGTGATCCATTATTAATCACGGACAGCTGGAGCAGTGTTGGTCTAGCTCTTAGCATGAACCCTACTACCCTCCACCCCCCACCCCCCCCACTGCTATGCTGGATCATGGGAGTGTCAGTGGGTGTGTGGTGGAGGCAAATGGTAATGTACTGCCACAGATAACCTACTGACTGTCTGCAGTGATGGACAGCAGTGTGGCTAACAGCAGTAACAAGCACAGATAAAACTGTCTTGTGTCTGGATTCACTCATGTAGTGCAGACATTTGCAGAACACAGGATTGTCAGTTATGTTGTCTAATTTTATTCTTTTGGTTATTTGGCATTTACACCAAAATATTGTCATTTTATAGCTTCTGGTTGCAATAAGTAATCTGAAAATATTTAAATCCTTCCTACACTCTTATCTTGGGAATACAATAATATTACTTATTAAAACATGACATGTGTATGATGTTTTCTCAGTGTTTTCTTTTTGTTACTTTTTATTTTTTGGATGCTGTCTGTTTCAATTTACGGGCGGAAAATACATCCACTAAGAATAATTTACGGGCGGAAAATACATCCACTAAATTGCATTCATGCAACTCAAAGAACGCAAAGCTCCTTCGGAAAGAAGTGAGTTGAAGGGGGTTAGCAGGATTAGCTTAGTGATTCTCCGAGCAGACTGTCTTTTGTGAAGGATGAACTCATAAGTTAAACCTTTTTTGGTGTCACAGAATGTTAATGGGAGTATAAAAAGACGTGAAACTATATTTGTAAAATTTAAAACACTTTGGTTTATGTATATGTGTATGTGTATATATGTTTACAACTCAGTGTAGCTAGCATGACATTCCCAGTCTTTATGTGACAGTTTGCAGTCACATTACCAAACCAAACCACAGCGGCTGATGTTTGTGGTTCTGTTTAGTTAAATAAAAGATGTTGGTGTGACTACACACTCAGAGATGAGTTATTTTCTTTTTATTAGAATTGCTGATGTAAAATTCCTGTTATAAATGTGTAATTGTATTCCTCTCTTCAAAACCACCTGATATAAACACTCCCTGAAATACTGACACCCTAATACCAGCCCAAGGCTGTAAATGTACTGCCTGTTCATTAACAGGATAACAGAACTATTTGTGTCTGATGGTGTCTTGTTTCTGTGATAAATAACATCTGATCTCTATTTGATCAGAAACAACTACTGCCAAGTCACCTGAACCACATACAATAAAAATACAAAATAGTACACTTTGATGCTGATGCTTATTTTAGTTTGTTTTTCTTTTGCATTTCTTTCTGTCAGACCACAGGAAGTCTCGTCCTTGACATTGTTGTAGTCAGTGTTAGCCACTGGTGTTAAAGATCGAATTAACTCCAAAGAATTTACCTTGTTGTCAGTATCAAGTTAAAGTTTGAAACTCTAGTACCAAAACATCCTCACACTTCACCAAAGAACTGTTCCATTTTTCTATTTTTGCTGTGTCACTGCAGTAAACATGTTGGCTTCTTTGTTGTAAGGGGAAAAATACATTGTTGTGCGTATGTGTTGTTTAATCCCCCACATCTCACCTCTTATCTCTCATTTTCTTTTCAGTACTGGATTAACGAATACACTTCCAATCTGGGAATTGGAGTTTTTCACTCAGGCATTGAGATTTATGGCAGAGGTGAGGTGGATTATTATTTTCTTTTTTCATCATGGTGTCAGTGAAATCTCATCACATTTTTAGACCGGGGCATGTGCGTCATCCTCTAACCGTCTACCAAAATCTGGCTTAAAAATAATCGGTATATTCTTCTTTTCTTATTAAGGTGACCCATTTTTGGTGGTTGAGTCACGACTGACTCACTCGGCATTTGGTTTGAAAAAAGTGACAGAATTCACACGTGAAATCCACTGAAATTGTCGTCAGACGAGAAGAATTGCACTGATAGTTTAAAATAGTGCTTCTTAATATACATGTTAGTAGTGTCATTTTTCATTACTAACCCAATATATCACTCACATAATATCACAAACTGGCTACAAAAGTGTACCAACTTTTCAACAACAAAGTGTCTTGTGTGAATGATTTACGGTTTTGTTCAGTAGCTTCATTTGAGTTAGCTGTGTCCCTGCTGTTTGTCACTGTTTGTCTCTAACAGCAGTGAACACAGAGCAGGGAGGCCTGTAATTAGCCCTAATGATTTAGACGCAGCCACACTGTGATGAAGTGTGTAATTGCAGCTGTTTAGTGCCCTTGTTTTCAAGTGTTAGTTTATTGTTGCTGCCCTTTCTGTCTACACAGAATTTGCATATGGTGGTCACCCGTACCCTTTCAGCGGCATTTTTGAAATCAACCCAGGAAACGCTGCCGAACTGGGGGAGACCTTCAAATTCAAGTGGGTTTGAAGTCCATGTACTTAACATTCAATGTATTGTGACAGCGTTGGTGGAAACAGCTGAGCTGATGTGTGTATGTGTGTGTGTGTTTTAATTCAAACAGAGAGGCCATTGTTCTGGGCACCACAGACTTCACAGAGGAGGACATAGATAAAATCATGGAGGAGCTCGGTAAAGAATTCAAAGGCAACGCCTACCATCTGATGCACAAGAACTGCAACCACTTCTCCTCCTCGCTCTCTGAGGTTGGTTTATCTCTGCTGTATGACTGAGTCAACATGCTGCACGCATATGAATCTCCGTTTTCATCCTGGAGGGTTTTAATTGGGCAGCAGAGATCAAATACTAATTTAATCAATAATTTAATTTGATTATCTCCTCAGGTGCTACTCATGATTTCAGCTTTTGAAAAATGTTGCCTCTCTGTGACAGTAAACTGGGACCAGAGGGTGATTGAATGTCTATGAGGAAGAGTTGCTAATATATAGTATTTCATATTTATATTAAAAAATAACTTCATTTCATTTTTTGTACTAAAAATGTAATAATATTTTGAATTTGTTGGACAATTTTTGTATGTTATATTTTTAAACTAGCGAGCTGTCATTGTGACTTTGGATTATAATTGACTGTTCGAAAAATATACTTTTTGGGCTACCAAAGCCTAGCCGAACATTTTCCAGGTGACTATTGTTTATTTTCGACATTGACAATTTCGGTCAGGAAAGACTAACCTGTATAGATTTTAAATTTATTCTAGGATTATAAACTTTGCCATGTGTTGCAGCTACTATGTGGAAGGGAAATCCCTCGCTGGGTGAACAGGCTGGCCTACTTCAGCTCCTGCATCCCTTTCCTGCAGAGCTGCCTTCCCAAGGAGTGGCTGACCCCGGCCGCCCTGCAGAGCCACATAAGTCTGGGCCTCCACAAAGAAGATCAGAACGAGTCCAGCGACGAGGATCCGTCGTCTGGTGGTGCAGCTTCGGGCTCGTCGCACAGCTGTCGCCACACGAATCGTCTGGTGGTGCAGCAGGCTCGTCGCACAGCTGTCGCCACACGAGGGTCTGAACTGAACGTCATTCCCTTTCAGAAATCACACACTGACCTCCTCTGCAGTCACCCCTGCTGGTGACTCAAGTGTCTTTAGAAGGTTTGAACAACCACCTGACCTCATGCTGTTGTTCCTCGGATCATAGAGGCAGGAGAAATGGAGTCTCGTCTTGGTGAGGGGTCCTTCAGCCTTACAGCACAGACACCAGGTCTGTCTCTTCTACATGTCACACTGAGACAGTCCAACTCTGATCTGAGCTCTGCAGTGACGCTCAGACTCCAACAACGACCACTTGTAGATCTAAAGTTTGTAGAATGTTGTTATTCCCAGTCTTTTTGCCATGAACTTTTAAGCCTTTGTCAGCTTTGTTCCCTTCCCTGCCTTCAGAGCTGCTTTTGTAGAATGACCTTAGAAACAACTCAAGCTGCAGTGATGTTACCAGGGAAAAGGTGAATTCCCTCAATTCAAACAAGTTCTCGTTCAGTAACCTCTATGTGGCCTTCTGTTGTCATCTTATGCAGCTTTAGTAGATGCCATTCTTGCAGGTTGGACGGTTAATGGGGAGTTCACTGTCGGATTGTTTCAGGCTTTGCATGTTGAAAGAGTCTCAGATCCCACATTGTTTAATATGTCGGCATTTATTTCATTTTTTTAACCAAAGTCTGGATTAAAACTCATATTAAACCTTGAGCTTGAGATAAGCTGCCAGTATTACCAGTAAACTCACAGTTACAGTCATCTGTCACTATTTAAACATCTCAGAGAGAAAGCTGCCACAGTGACTATCAAGCTGACTCTGGGTACAGTGTGACCTTTGTCTAGCCTTTTTCTACCTGTAGGAGTCACATGGTGTTTGCTAATAAAATAATGGTGCGAAATGTACGTTCAAACACAAAGATCATTTCTGGGAGATACAGGTACAATAGTTTGTTTCACCACTCACATGGAAAAACTGCAGCTGTTCCATATCAACTTAAGTATTATTCAATTAAATTATTCATATTATAGCCAAAGATTGTTGTTATTATTGTTATATAAAAAATGGACTCTACCATCCTGTTGCAAAAGTGAAGCAGCAAAAATAATTTTAATTGGAGGGATGAACTAGTTTCAGGTCGTAGGTGGAACATCACGTTAATCACTTTTGGCTTGTCCCTTTATTAGGGGTCGCCTCATTGAGAGTCCGCAGAATGAATTAGTATCCCATTTAGAGATCATAAAGCACAACTGAAGATGCAGGGATTCAGCATTCAGGACAAAGTCTGAGACAAAGACAGGTCTTTACAGAACTAAAACCATGCATTTGGTATTTAGCAGACAATGTCATTAACATCATTTTACCAGTGCTGCATGTACTAAACTAGTGTTTTTAACCTTCTACATGTAGATCATTTCTACATCTGCTTGGTCCTGTACCTGGGTCCCGGTGCTATGTTCATTTCCCTTCACCAATCACTTGGAATGTCATATTAGACTGCATATAATATCTAAAATTAGGATCCTATCAGATGGTCCAGCTGTTAATCACACACTGTGTAAACGCACTTCCATTTTCCTGGAGTAGGTTTGTAATTTACAACATTGACAATACCTTACGCTGGAGCAGCTTGAAAATAGCAAACAGTCAACAGAAACCTTTTGAAAATATTTTCCATAGACGCCTGGTTTCATTTTTAAAAAACAATTCTTAGGCTTCAGTTTTGCAACTAGAGGGCCGTGCCCATTTCTTATATACGATCTATGATAACAGATCGACATTTTGGGAAGTATATTTATTCACTGTCTCTCAGAGAGTTAGATCCAAAGATCGATAGCACTCTCATGTCTAGGCAGTGACTACAGTGTAGCCGGTTAGCTTAGCTTAGCATAAAGAATGGATGCATGGGGAAATGATTAGTCTGACTCGGTCCAAAGGTAACAAAATCTGCTTATACCAGCACAAAGAAAAATCAATAATTTACATTTTCCAACGTTGTACATCACTTTTCTCCTCCAACAGGATGAGATGAAAGGTATTACTGAGAATGCTGTTCAATGCATTTCTATAAAACTATATTTGTTTTGTTTTTTTATTTATTTAAACTGTGAATTAAAGCGTGACTTGTTTACAGTTGCAAATCTTTGTAAAGACCTTTTTTGAAGTTTGAATATATAACATCAGAGGTTGTACAATGCCAAGTTGTCATTAAGGGAATATGCTGTAATAATGTCATGGACTTCATTGTAATCATTATGGACTCAGCATGCATTAGGCTACTTCCCCTCTGATGCCAACGATGGTTGTGATTACAACCATAACGATGACAAATCATTATTTCAGCTTCTGTTGCCTGCTTTTGTTCCTTCACCAAATTAGACCATGCGTCATTTCAGTGTGTTCCCTCTTCCCTCCCACTGTGACTCAAAGTGAAAAATTGTCATCTGAACTCTTCATGTTCTAAAATAAGCTATACCCTTACTTATTTTTAACATTTTGACATGTGCTGTGTTTGAGATTCTCTGTTTTAGGGGGCTTTACAGTGACAAGCATTCATTGGCCAAATGTTTCTGACATTTTCTATGGAACAGACAGGCATTTTTTTTTCTATTGTATGTGTCAACCTCAACCTTGTATTTCCTTTCTTCTAACCCAAGACGATTTTAAGAATGATGATATAGTACTAGAATAAAGATATGGGTACCCACAAAAACTGTGTTTTCCTTTGGCCTAAAATGGTATTGTATCAAGAAGTAGACGGTAAAAATATTACATACATAATATTAAAAAAAATGATTTCGTGAGTGATTTTTAATCTGCCTGCTTTTTATTATACATCAGTATGTAGTTTTAAAAAGATTTCGTAAGGGATTTTTAATCTGTCTGCTTTTTATTATACATCAGTATGTAGTCAGATGCAGGAGGTCTTCAACTTATAATGGCGTATTGATTTTATTACATTGCAGTTTTTGGAGTTTAATGGCAGTTGGCATCAATAATGTTGCATTCAGGACTTCTATTTTTATTTCATCTTGGTGCTTTAGTAACTTCTAATCAGGTGTGTTCAAAGAGTATTTCTTTGGCAAATTGTAGCACTCAGACTGTTGTTATGTGGCCCAATTATTTTAAACTAATTATTTAATGTCTGATGACGACAAATAATATTTTAGTGAGTAATTTTCAGGTCAACTATAGGTATCAGGTAGTAATAGCTTAAAACGAATTTATTGTTCAACTTGTAACATTGTCCAGACCAGGTTTCTTATCTCTCATGATTGCTAACTTCTCATTATCGAGGTCTCTCTCTATTATCCAGATTTTTGTTAGGATTTTTTTTATGGTTATTTTTGTTTTAGCTATTTAAGACATTTATAAATGCTTAACTATAGTGACTTTTTAAAGTTTTAAAGCAGGCACAACCATAGACATAATAAAGAGTAGGCGCCGCATTGGCCGCCATCTTGGACCGGTCAGGAGACTGCAAAGCCAAGCAAGATGCCTGAGCACTGTAATAAAGAGGAATAAATAATATACATTTATATAGAAATATAAAATACATTAATTATTAATAAAATTATATTTTATATAAGTATATATAAGTTATTTTTTTACTTCTCCTTAAATTATACTTAAATATAAATACTTAGTAAACTTAGTAATACTTAGTGTTATTAATTAAATAATAGGAATAGGAGAGGTTCTGATGATCTGTGTGTCTCTCGAGCACTCTCTCCGATTTTTTTCTTTCTATCTTTTTTTAAAATTTCTTGATCATAGTTAAAATAGCAGAGTACCATATATCATACGTTAGGACACTTTTTTGAAGCGCCAAAGCGCAACTTTAACCCTGTGTTGCCAGATTAGTTTCGTATTCGCAAATAACTGTTTAATTATCAAATACATTCAATAAAAAGAACGATTCAGTTTTTAAAACTAACATAATGTACAAAGTTATTTCGATACATGTTATGTTACATGTGTAACCTAAAGGAGGTCAAGTCGTTAACATATTTGTCGGAGTACTACTACTGAGCCGGAACTAGAAAACAGAAAACCCCTGAGATTCCGGAAATTTGGCAACCCTCAGCAGTACTTGTTCCCGAATCGCTGCTTCTTTGAGTCATTCGCCATTTTGTTACACTCGAAAGAGCTGCCCTGGTGAAGTTGAACAACGACGTGACACTACCAAAAGGCACCGAAATATTCTAAGGTGAGATTTTTCAGAACGAAATGTTAAATGGATGGATTTAGTTCATATTTCGTGTGGCTTGTGATTTTTTACATTTAAACAGCGAGTCACGTCTTTACTGTTAACCGTGGTTAGCTTTAGCACACCTCGAGGCGAGCTGCGGCTGTAATGGAGGCACGAGGAAAAAACACATTTTTCTGAAATTATGAACGAGCAACTGTATTATTCGCACAATTAATCATCATTTGGCTTTAAGTTAAGACTTAACCATTGGCAAATTCTAAAGTATATATTGATTGATTTTTGCATGATTTAAATAGTGTTTGTCCTCTGGTTGAAGTCGGGCCTGCATGAAAACCAACAGTTCTCGGCGTGGTATTTATTCGCCACATAAACGTACTCTTTATTACGTTGCGAAAACTATTTTACATAACCAGTAGCCCTTCTTGAGGTTGCTATCAAAGGTTGTACTCGTGTTGCGTGAGTTAATCCTTTCTTTTTCAATACACCTAAACGTTTAACTTAAAACCCGTTTATTGTTTGCATAATTTTACACTAATGTAAATCGCTCGAATTAGAATACGCATGAAACTATCTCAAACAGTAGTTAGAGCTGATTAAATGTGCGTTAGTATTGTAGTATTAGGTAGTAACTTTATTATAGTTCTGGACATATTTGTTACTAAAACACAGCGGTTTTCATTTAAAGGCCACGTGGATCAACGTTAATTTAAACGAAGTACCCGTTAAGCCATATTTTTGAGTATGTACGCTAAAGAATGGTCAAAGGAGACACTAAATGTGTCCGTTGTTATACGCCATTTCATGTTTATCTTTGTTTTATGGGTGTTGTTGGATTAAACATATGTACACTAGGATCTATTTTATACTCTTGGATATGTTAATGGACACATTAAAAAGGGAATATATGGAAACTGTATCTGTGGCAACTTAAGCTGGTTTGTGCAGAAATGGGTAATAGGGTTGCTTCATTGTCACTAGGTTTCTTATTAAACGTTTTACTACATGAATGGATTTTCATTAACAAAGTTGGGAACGCCAGAACCTAGTTTAAAATCCATGATTATAACAAAACACCAACACTAATCTAGACTTAAAATAAATGACCAAAATTGTATTCACCCTTTGTTTTCATCTTATTAAAATGTAATGTATTTATGAACTAACTAATACTCCACTTGTATCTGTAGAGAATCAATTTTTTTGGGGGGACAAATGTCAAATATTAAACTGTCTCCTCTACCTTTCCTTTAATGTGCTTAACTGTTGACCAAACCCAAATCTTTCATTTTTTTCAGATAATGAGTGGCTGTCGTGTTTTCATTGGCCGTCTGAGCCCACACGCCAGAGAGAGAGATGTGGAGAAGTTTTTCAAGGGATATGGGCGCATTCGTGAGATCAATTTGAAGAATGGATTTGGCTTTGTGGTCCGTGTCCCTGGATTATGTCCTTAAATCAATGGGTCTGGGTTTGTTGAAAGCCTTTCAAGTTGCAAGTTTTTTTCTCACTCTATTTGCAGGAATTTGATGACCACAGAGATGCAGATGATGCTGTGTACGAGTTAAACGGCAAAGAACTCTGCAATGAAAGGTGATCATCTTATCTTGAGTAATTTCTTTCTTAAATAGTCACGGTAAACAGAAATAAGGTGTTATGGTTGTCACCCAGTATTTCAACAAAAATGCATCACAAAATTCTACGACTTGTACATTACGTTCTAAAGTCACAAAACTGCCTAAATATGTTTTTATAAATGTGTTCAGATGTATTTTTGATGTGATAAGAGGATTTACTAGTGTGTTGTTTTTGGCCTCAGGGTCACAATTGAGCATGCTCGCTCCAGGAGAGGACGAGGAGGTGGTCCTGGAATGAGTCGTTTTGGGGGTGGTGGAGGAGGAGGCGGTGGTGGAGGAGGCGGTGGCGGTGGCTACCGTCAGTCACGCAGCAGTGGATCAAGGTAAACCACCAGAGCATGTTTTTAGCTTTATTTTTAATGGAGGCCAAAACTTAACATAATAAAATAATGCTAAATGGATTTTAAATATTGGTGTATTTGTGTCACTGCTTGTACAGGTATGGCCCACCAGTTCGTACTGACCATAGACTCATCGTAGAGAACTTATCTTCAAGGATCAGTTGGCAGGTATGATGATGTTCAGGTTTCCTTTCTGCCTCACAACACCAACCCTTTCATACTACATAGTCACCTTGTGATAAAGATTTTATTTAATTGAAAAGTACATTTAAGTTTTAGATAGATAACAATAAAATGTTTGTAGTCACTTAATTGGCCATTTACTGTCAGATCTTTTTTTTATTAGGACCAAAATACTTGTCCTAACCAAACCATTTAATGATTTCATTTTTTCAACAGCTGCTCTAATATGGTTTCCTTTACATCAGAGGTGAATGCACAGCCTCTACTGGAGGTGTCAGAAGTGTCTAGCCCCCTCTCTTGGTTGTTTTTCTGAATAGTGTCCATTTGGTGCCTCTCCTTACACGCAGTTGCCGCCGGTCTAAAGTCTTGGCTGGGCCCCATAGCGGGTGAAAGTGGTCTAGCGCAGGATACGGTAGCCTTAGGAGGTCCGTAGCCACAGTCTGGAGGTTCTGTGGGCTGGCATCCCCGACTGCTGTAACGCCCCCTCAAATCCACCGTCCCTACACTCTCCTATTTGGGTCTTTTTCTGTTGCTGATGGAGCATGGGGGGGTGTTGAGTCGGGCACGCACCCCTCCCTCTACTTGCTCTCTGGTGGTTCCTTACTTGTGGAGGCCGGATGCTGAGTCAAGGCCGAGGTCGTTTCTCAAGGGCTTAACACTGCATTGGTTCCCATTTGCTATTTGGACAAGTGGCTCTATGCTTATGTCTACCAGGGTATGGAGCGGTAAGTAGCATAAAACTCATGTGATTGGGTTTGTTCAGGGTCGGGTGGTTATGGGGTGCAAGACTCAAATCCAAAAGGGGGGTGGAGTCTTACTTAGAATTTACCTTTTTTGGTCAATCCTTACTGTCAGGTTTTTGTTCACCCATTGTAGTACAGTTGTCCACCTCCCTAGTGTTACTGCTTATTTCAGACATGCAGACAGAAGCCATTAGGCAGTGACAAACAGACTCAGGCGTCTCTCAGTGGAGTTGAATCAAGTTTTTTGCTGATGAGCCAATAGAACAAACAAGCACATTTATGGAGCCAATTATTGGGCATTTCAGGGGGATGGGGAAGGGAATACAATAGGAATCACTTTCTCATTCTAACAAATAATGTTTATTGGCTTTTGTTGGCATGATGTTCACTGAAATGGGAGTTTAGCACACACTGAAAAAAGAAAAAAATCAGTGTTAGCCAACTCACATTTCTGTGTGTGCTGCTTTCATGCTGCCTGCATATTTCTTTTCCTGCAGGCCAGACTCGTCTCTCACTGTTGCCCTTTATTCTACTCTGATTCTAATCAAGCCTTATTCTTCAAAACAGGACCTGAAAGACCTGATGAGAAAAGCAGGTGAAGTGACCTTTGTGGATGCTCACAGACCAACTAAAAACGAAGGGTGAGTTACTGTTTCTACTGCACCTGGAGCCCCCTCTGCTGGGTGACATCGTTAATACGTAATACAATATGAATTTTATGTAGTTTCTAAACCTTGAATTAGAACGTGACTATGGTAAACAATTACTTTAATTGAAAATTAAAATGACTGCCCAGGTCTTTAGGTATTTGTGGTCGGGTCCTAATCAAAGTCTTTTTGAAAACAGAGTGGTGGAGTTCGCATCTCGCAGTGACATGAAGAATGCCATCTCCAAGTTGGACGGCACAGAACTGAACGGTCGCAAGCTGAAGATCTTTGAAGACAGGAGAAGGTAATTTTACCTTTGACATTTTTTTTTCTTTCAGCTCTAATAAGATAAAATTTGTAAAAGGCCATCTCAGGTTGTGGCACTGAGATTTCATTCATAGTACTGTAGATAAGTTAAATACATGTAGGGAGGAGTATGTAGATAACACTTATAATGGTTTTATCAAATGATAACAAAACATACAAGTTTTCTATAGTTTAACTATAAAATTTATGCTAACTTTATTTTAACATCCCCTTTCTAACAGTCGCAGCAAGAGCCGATCTCGTTCCCGCAGCTACTCTCGTTCAAAGAGTCGCTCCCGAAGCCGTAACCGCTCCAGGAGCCGCTCCAGGTCTCTCAGCCGCACCCCAGAGAAGAAGAACTCTGGTGGCAGCAAGACAGCAGCCAGGTCTCCATCCCGGTCCAAGTCCCGTTCCAAGTCCAGATCTAAGTCCCGTTCCAAGTCTCGCTCTAAGTCCAGATCCAAGTCCCGCTCCAAGTCTCGCTCTCGCTCTCCTCCCCCCATAGAGAACAAACAATCCCGCTCTCGTTCCCGCTCCCGTTCCAGATCCAGGTCTCGCTCCCGTTCCCGCTCAGCTTCTGTAGACAGCAAACACTGAGCTGAATTCACCTGCTGGCTGTTAAACAGACTGGTAGTTGATCACCAAAGGCCTAATGGGGCAGCATGGTGACCTTTTCGTCTTTCTTTTTTTTTTTTAATGGAGGGGAAATTTTGTGTGGCTTCTTTAGAAAAGCATTGTTTGAATGTTGACATGCCGCCCTTGGATTTTGATTTTTCTAACTGTGTTGATGTGATTCCACTGAGAACATGTTTTTCCATCTAGGTCATGATTTCTACATTTACCTCTTAAATCCCTCCTCACTCTAATGATCGAGAGACCTTAGACCAACGTAAAAATAATTGGTGATAGTGATGATGATATCATCTCTGCAGCTGTTGGCCAGCTCTGAATTCCATCCATACTTCTGTTGCTGATTGTTGATGTTGTTAAGTGGGTTGGATAAAACTGTGATTCTGCTTATTGTGACAGGTAAGTGATGGGTCAGTAAATGCAACAATAGTTTACTGACCTGTCACTTAACATCATCCCACGTGATGTAAACAGCTGCAAATGTTGACTTGCTATTTTAAACACTGCTGTATTAGGACTGTCTAATGTTTTTTGATTTATTTTATTTTCAGTCAAATCTTTTTTTTACTTAAATTTTCACACTAGTTCACATTTTTCCCAATAAAAGACAAATGCTTGTATTGGTTCTGTACTAAAACAAATACCTGCCTTCTTACTTTTGGATACTTTTCATTGGGGGGGGCAAATGCAGGATAAGGCGCTCTTATAAATGATATTAAGTCTCCAGTTTAATAAAATAAAGTTGGATACATTATTAAATCAGCGATTTGTTTGTTTTTGTATGAAGATCTGTTGGCAAAATTTCATTTTTTTTTTTTATGCTATCCCAGCAACCATCAGACGAGGGCAGTGTTGACACCCTGAACAGTTGTCTATTATAGTCAACTTGGGAGGGAAGAGCTAAAGAAATGGGGTATAGTTGTGTGTGTTGGTACACAGTAACGACCCCCACGGACAGAAACGTCGATTAGCAGCACTGATGGAACCTGGAACTACAAGTTAGAAACTTGCAGAGTACCTAATGCTAAGAACAAAACGCCTTGTTTTTAGTGTCCTTTGAAGCACAGCGAAACTAAGTTACTAATAACTCCTACTATATTCTATGTATCTCTTCGGTATGCTGTCAAATAAATTGTGAAACGCGTGTTAAATCTTGTGGCACCTGACACCTTTATCTGAAGATAAACCTTTAAAGTTCATCGGTGACCCAGAAGTTTGACCTTTTCACATATTCTACCATAAACGTAGGTTATCTGTGAAAAAAACGGGACAACAGGTCATCCATTGGCTCAATCAATAACAATCCTGAGACCTACCAGCTGCCACGGGAGGCTGGTGATGATTGTCGATATTTTGTTTGAAGTTCTTGACTTTAAGGCGTTCAAAAGATTTATTTAGTTAAACTCAATTTGAGTTTAACTAAATAATTGATTTGTTCAGGAGTCACGTATCACGTCCTATCACCCTGACCACCACATGATGGCAGTGTTTTCCTATATTGCAGTGAGGTGCAGTGACAATGACTTGCTCAATGTTACTTCAGAGCAGGTGTAGAGGCCATTGTGTGCTTTGAGAAGATATTTTTACACTTTGTTTTAAAGTGTCAAGACATGTTTTTTTTTTTATCCTTTTCAGTTGCTCTCTTTTAAGCACCTGTCCAAACGGTGCACACGGACAGTCAAGGAATCACTCAGACCTGGCCTGGGTCTGAGTCCACAGACACACCCAGATCCAGAGTGGCCATGTCTGCACCTGCCCACGGAGTCCAGGGACTTTCAGTGACGAAGTATGCTGCGTTCTAAGCATATGGGAGATGATTAGTGCCAGGAGTAAAGGGAATGTTGTCATTTAGGAGCCTAGCAACACACTGTCAAACTGACCTACAAGGAAAGCGAATTAGGAAAACATTTTGCACAGCAAAGTAATTTAGTGGTAAAGAGGTAAAGTCTGGTGTTAAGTAATTTAAATGAACAAAACTATTTGTATACCTATGGTTAATCTACAAAGAAGGTTTACCTTTTTAACCCGTGTGTCAAGAGAAAAATGCATTTTGCACTCACTGCAGATAAATACATCAAATTCTGGAGGAGTTTGTAACTAAACGTAACTAAAATGACGTTATATCCTAAATAATTAAAGGCATCTAGTCAAGGGGGTCATTTCAAATATCCTAGGAAACAGGGTGGTTACAGTAGAAAATATATGATAAAACAAGCCAGGGGGTCATTTCCAATATTCTAGGAAAAAATGTTCACACATTATTTCTGACACATCAACACACAGTAGAAAATATATGATAAAACAAGCACCCTCACAATCAAAACAAATATAGAAGACAAAAACTCAAAAATAAGTAACCACAAATTCAGTGATATATATATACACACACACACACATATACACACTCACAGATATATATATATCTATATATACACAGACTTGTTTTCACTTCAAGTCCATACACATAGATCATCAGTTACTATCAGGGCTCGTATTACTGACTCTTTTACTGTAAGGCAAGAGCATTAACCCTTCACCACCGTGTGGTCCAGTGCAGGTTCAATGAACACGAGTCCCTAATACAGTGGCCGTTGAGGGCAATGGCGTGGCTCCTCCTCTGTGAGGCAGTGTGGCACTAATCGTCCTCCATACAGCGGTAGCAGCGTGGTAGGACACAACAGTGTCCTCCCAGCTCTGATCCCCACTGCAGCTCCAGCCTGAGCCGCTCTGTCCTGACACTGTCCTGGATCTGCAACGCTGACTTGGAGACATGAGCTGCTGCTCCGCACTGCCGTGAGTGTGTGTGACGGACACACACACAGCCTCAGACACAGAGGAGTTGCGCTGAAACCACCACAGGACGGTCCCACCTGCTGACACACCGAACCATGGCGGAGAGAAGCGGCCGCCTCAGCTTCCCCGGCAGCGGGGCTCTGAACAGACCCGTGCCCATGAATCTGTTCGCAACGTGGGAGATTGACGGATCCTCCCCGAACTGCATCCCGAGGTGAGTGAGTTTGTGTGTGTGTGTGTGTGTGTGTGTGTCCCACCCTTGTGGGGCCAACAGCAGCATCTCCTCTGCTCAGGCTTTAAACTCTGGAGCAGGTGTTATTCTTGTCAAACAGCATCAGCATCAGCAGCAGCAGCAGCAGCAGCAGCAGCAGCAGCAGCGTTAGTCTGCACACTCAGAACTAATGTTTTGCAGCTGCACCTCAGCTCTGACTTCATCATAACTATAGGGGTCCAGTGCCAGCAGGGGCGTGCAAAGACCGTTACAGGGACAGGAGGCAAACAAGCAAAAACATTTTATTAGGTAGATTTGTTTTTTTATACACAGTTTCTACAACTGAATAAAGGTTCACCTGCTAACACTGAGCCCAGTGGAAGTGAATAGGGCTACAATGCAGCTGAATGTACGTACCTCAGTTTTTGGGTCAGGGTTCAGTGTTGTTGTATGATTTTACATATATTTTCATTCACATCAAACAGAAAATAGTGCATCTTACCAACAAATGCAGAAGTGCCTCAGATTACTGGTGCGGCCTGTAGGGTAGACAGTGAACCATGAACATGACGTGGTCCCTCAGACACATGTCAATAGGTCACCATCACGAGTGAGGAGCAAATACGTCTGGTAAAAGTACAGAAATAGAACAGAACAAAGCATTTATGAATGCTTGTAATTGTTCCATCTGGAGCAGCATTTATGTTAACGTTGAACTCTCCCTCAGAGATGAACAGAACAACAAAATAATCCTGCTCATAGTTTCTGTGATGACCTTTGCCCTCTGTCCTTCCGCGCTCATCAGCTCTTTGAAAACGACTACTTTGCCCTTCCCCCAGTGCCCGTCACATCTGGGTGATGGCAAAATGCATCTCTAACTCCTGCAAATCAGCTGCAAACTGACAGTGTTTTCACGTTTCACAGCACATTACTGCCCCCTGGATTGGGGTGTAGGTACTGTCACCACTGAGTGCATTTTTCACTCAGTTGTACTGGTTGCGTGATTGCAGTTTCCATTTGTAAACATACGCTGTTTTTTATTAAATACTGAAGTATTTGAATAATACACAGGCTTATATTCATGTACTCAAAACTGTGTTCAAATCATGCTAGTGTGTCTGGAATTATGTACATATATGTGGAAAAGAAATCAGGGAAAAACTACAGATCTTTCCAGTGTCCCTGCAGTACCATTGTGGACCACTAGTTGAAGAAGTTGGTGAGTTAGTGTGGGTTGCCTGCGATGAGAATATGGCTTTGACCAACATATTGGGATAAGGAAGTTGGTGAGTTAGTGTATGGCTTTGACCAACATATTGGGATAATGTTGGAGTTGTTGCATCATCGTCAGGTTTCCATCCTGGATTAGATTGGCTTCTCTGAGGGACGATCTTCTCCACCTTTTTCACAACCAAAATATTTGTCAAATATAACATTGTTAGGGTCACAGGGCAGAGCAGTGGACAGTTACACTGTTACCCTTTTCAAATGACCTTATTTGACAATCTGGCTGGCTGGCAGTCTGTAGGTGTTTTATTGCCACCTAGTGGTCGGACGGTATCCAACACTATAACTAGTGGCTGAAGTTATAGAACAGGGTAATGTATGATCAATAGATTTTATTTTTTTAATGTTGTTGATCTGTCATGGAATTAGCTAAATTAATGCTAATCTTAAAACAGGTTTGAATTGATAACTTTGTGTATTTCACCATTAAATATTGAAAGTCTTTGGATCTTGATTCTCTTATTTTTAATGAATATGTTGTGCTGCCTTTATTTTCCATTGATAATCACTGGTCGGCCGGTCGTCATGATAGATGACAGACAAGCTTTAGGCCAGACCTCAGTGTCTGTGCCAGGCTGCACCATGGAGACCATTCAGCTCCTCTGACCCCAGGAGACTGTGGGACAAGGCACCGCTCTGATTCAGCTGTGTGAGATGTCTAATCTGGACTGATCCACTGCTGGTCCATTTAACCCAGGAGCTGATTAGGATTTGTAGGTGGTGAAGCTGCAGTAATATTTAATAGTGCAGCAGCACTTGTTCTTAATGCCTAAGTAGGTCTGATTGTTATAGGTCTAAGGTGGAGAGGGGCTTCTCCCCGTGGAGCTGGTCTTTGTGCAGGAACATGAACGTGGAACTGGAAATGAGTCATGAAAAGGCAGATCATGGACTCATGATTTCAAAAATATTCACAGCTAAACGTGATGATACGATTAAACACTGAGATGGTATGTTTTTTATCTGATTTCTTCCCTCCCAAAATATGTTATTTTATTTGCTATTAGCCATACAAGCTAGCTGTAGCTAACACTTCTTTCTGTGTCATGGCTTCATAAATACTTTTACCACAGTATGTCCCACGCATCAGGTGACATTTGTTTGTGCGCTACAGAAGCCTGGTTGGACATTTTTCATTGCAGACTCTGTAAAAGTCAACTCTCTGTTTTATGGCAGCGGGTCAGTCCCCTGTGATGTGACATTCACGGCTCATTCAGTCAAACAATTCTATATGGCTCAGTGTGAGAAGTCAGAAAACAGTCTCAGGAACGGACATTTATGGAGGTTTGTTTTGTAAAAACATATTCAGTCTGCAGCAGTGATAGGATTAAAGACTGTATTTAAACGATGCTGTCAGTCAGTGGTCAGTCGCTGTGGAGGGAAGTGGAATTAATGCAGGAGAATGAGGAAGGAACGACCTGTCTGATGATCTGGTTTTATTTATTGTATGTTGCCTGGTCACTGAGTGAGT